CAAACAAATTCTAACAACAAGAAAAGCTGGTGAAATATTAAGATGTGCCAAAACAGACTCCAAAGTTAACCATTTAAAAGGTACAAAATGGAACACTAGATACTGATAAAAAGGAATGAAGAGGAGACAATATGCCACCCCAATGTGCCACTTTGGCATGTGGACTGTTTTGAGGTGGAGGTGGTTAAGGTGCAGCAGAATCTGGAAGAGCTTTTTACCTCCTCTTTAGATAGGGGGGCTGCAACAGAAAAAGTTGTTACCAGAGAGAACTTTTCATTTTGGAAAAGTTATTTTTCATAAAAATATCTTGTAAATAATGTAAATGTTAACATGTAATGGGTTTATTCTTACTTCTAAATAAATATATTGAAAGTGTCTCAGTTTGGGCCGGCCGAGTGGTGTGTTGGTTAAGAGCTGGCTTGGGACACCAGCTCTGAGAAGCAGGGCCCCGGTTCGGATCCCACATATGAGGGCCAGCAACACTGCCCTCTGCATCTAAGATGGTGAACAACAGCTCAATCTGGAGCTGGGCTGCCTTGGGTCGCCGGCGACGGCGTAGTCTGCAGCCCCTGCTGCAGTGGGCTGCCATAAGCTACCCTGGGTGGCCAGCAGGCAGCATGAGTGGCCGGCAGCTGGTATGAGCTGCCAAGAGCCACTGTGAGGGGCCGTCCAGAAGCCGGCAACCAATCTGCCTCACTTGGGAAGAGCGCAATGATCACAATGCCTACATGGGCCAATGAAGCAACGTCCTCCACAATTAGACTGAAGAACAAAAGGACAACTTGTCTGTTCCCCTTCCCCGATTCCCCAATGCTGTTCCCCTCCCCCAATTTCCCAATAAAATCTTTTTTTTTTAAAAAGTGTCTCAGTTTTATTCCTAATAAGTAAATTTCAAGAGATATAATCACACAAACAAAAGCTCTTTGGGGTCCTGATGAATTTTTAAGAGTGTCATAGGTTCCTGAGACTAAAGAGTTTGAGAGCTGCTGATCTAGAGGGATAGCAACGTGAAAGGAAAAAAACAAAACAAAACAAAAAAACTTGCACTTGGGTGAGAATGAATGGAACAAAACAAACAGTTAAAGCTAGTTCAGTAGAGAAAATCTACCTATTACACCTGCTAAACCATAGGGACCAAATGGACCCATGTCTATCCTATTTGTGTCTTTATCCCTCACACCTAACCCACTGCCTGGTATTCAATGGTTGCAAAATGAATATTTGTTTCATTGGTAACTGTTCAACTTGAGACATGTTGAGTTTGGGGTGCCTGTGAGACATTTATGTAGAGACAAATAGGGAGACAGATGTATGAAGCTGGAGCTCTTATAGTAGTAGGTATTCAGATTTGGAAGTCATCAGCTTGTGGGAGTTAGGAGAAACAATGTGTAGATGAACTCACCCAGAGAGGGAAAGTGTGAAAAGTGAGATGAAAATGTCAGGACAATCTTGGGGAACACTGACATTTGAAGGGTGGATGGAGGAAGAGTTTGGTTCACATTGAGAGCCCAGTAATTGATGCTATATACCCAAAAAAGGTGTGTCAAAGAAGTAGAACTGAGAATATGTTATCACTGAAGTCAAGGTAGCAGGGAAGTTCAAGAAAGTAAGTGTAGTCCTGTGGCAGATACTCTAGGTTGGCTCACCCAACAACTTTTCCACCCCCTTTTCTCCTTGTCTTCCTTTATTATAGAGCTGTGGCTGTGCAATATGGTAGCCACTAGCCACATTATGGCTGTTTAAGTTGAAGAGAACCCTTCTGCTCCCCCGGTCTACCATGAGGCCACATTTTGTGACCATCACTTACCCTCCCCATGCTGGTAACAGAGACTGGCATACCATTAGAAGGAAGAAATTTGAGAGAAGTTAAAAAACAGGAATGAATCAGGGTCAGAGGGGGACAGCATCTTGCAATAGAAAGAAGAGGTGGAGGGAAAGTCTATGGACCCAAATTCAAAGCCTTCCTCCCCCTTTCCAGCCAGTAAAATGTTACCGAGCTAGCAGGACGTTTGTCAAGCCTCAAAATCATCACCTGAAAATGCTAATGACCCTGTCTTACACAGACACTGGGATTGCAAAGCAGATAAGCAGATATAAGGAAGGCCCCTGCCTCTTTTCCCCCAAGCTCTTCGGTATAGCTGGTAATCACAGGCAACTTTCTACAACTCAGACTGATTAGTTTCCTTCCCTGATTAAAAAGCCTTCCAGAGCAACCTGGATCAAGGATACATTGCTTAGAGGTTAGGCCAGGCTCTGGGCTGGACACCAGGGAAGCAAAGATGGCCTGACCTTTTCTTCTAGCCAAGAAGACAGCTAGCTACTAAAACCAGCAAGCTTGGAGTTAGTGTCTGAGGACTGAATTGTGAACCAGAGACACGATGTCAGCCCCATCGGGCTTACTGTACAGTGGGGGAGGTTGACAAGTAAACAATGTTAATGCATTGTGACAAATACGGGCCATGAGAAGCACATGGCAGGCCACCACAGGAGCACAAAGGAAGGAGTATCTATCTAATCCAGGTGGGGACATTGGTACATGGAAGACTTCCTAGAGAAGGAGATTTCTCAGCTAAGTCTTGAAGGACAAGTAGAAGTTTGCAAGGTGATAGGAGAGTCTCTGCTATCCTAGCTAGGGCGTGAGCCCCATCTACTCCAATTCAAGCACAGTAGGTGGGGTTCCTGCCCACATTACAACTATGGGGGTAGGAGTGGATTCTAGGACCCCACCTTATTCTCAGGATGTGTAAGAGTGTCCTGGCTGCTGAAAAGGGGATTGTCCACATAGATGATATGAGAAGGTCTGAGCAGTTTGGGGGCAGAGAATCTCCAGACCTGCCTATGCTCCTCTCTCTGTGGTCTCCTTAAATCCAAAAGGCCCTTAGGAACACCCTTCTCACAGGTACCCTCACCTTGGGCAGGACTTAACACAAGGTAGGGAACAATGTGATGCAGAGCAGCATAAGTTGTGTAGTTATTTTCTGTTGTTGTTTTGTTATGTACCAAGAAGACACAGACTTGACAGGACTTGGCAATAATCTGATACAGGGGATGAAGAATTGGGAGGGAACATAATACTAAAAAACACCTATAATACCTACAATGTGCTAGGCACCATTCTAAGTCCTTTGTATATATTATCTCACCCAATGCTCATATCAACTCTATGATTTAGGTGCTATTATTATCCTTATTTTACAGAGGAGAAAACTTCAGCACAGAGAGGCTCGGTAACTTGCCTATAGACACCCAGCCCATGGCATGACATCCTGGGTTCTAGTTTGGGCCCCCTGGGTGAATGATAGTGCCTTTTACAGTGATGGGAACATAGGTGAAGCTTCAGGTTGGGGGGTAGATGGTGAGTTCTGTTTTAGGCACATATTGTAGAATTTGGGTTACCTGTTCTGTTAGCTTTCATACCAAGGCTAGTGTAATGGTTTCTAAGAGAGGTCAGGGTAGTGTACTCTCAGGCCTTCTGGGATTGTCTTTGTCCCAAGTGCAGGTGTCCCAAGGTGCTATGTGGGAGGCATCGTGGGGCATGTCCCCACCACTGGGACCCAGCCTAGTCATTGTAGATAAGACCCACAGTGCTGGCCACGGAGGTACCTACGAAGTTTAGACACAATGCCTGGATGAACCTGGACATTACAGATAATGAAGCCAACCACCTGAGGATAAAACAGTTCTAAGGAATAAAAGAACTCAACCTTGTTTTCCAGATCCTTGTGTCTTCTACATACTAGGCAGCCAGAGCTGTGGGACTACACACGGTCAGGGAAACCTGAAAACCAGAGCTGACGGACTTGGCCTTGAGAGATTTCTTGCTCAAGAACCCTGAGTCTCTGAGGCCTTAATGGACCAATAGACCACACTCAATGGCAATGTGAGGCAGAGGCTAGAACCAGAGAGTCAGAACCTCTCTGTGAGGTTTCCAAATGTAGAGGGCTACCTTGGTATCAGAAAGTCACTCATTAGGCTCAGTGGGTAAAGACTGGTCTAAGAGATCTCCTTTAAGCCTGTGAAGACTCTGCTGCGGTCTTCTGATGCCTTTGTTTCTGTCCTGGCTTGTGCAGAGACATGAGTGACACATGCCAGGTCCAGAAGTAGGCCCGGAACACTCGGGATATTGCTGGTCCCTGGACAGCCCAGCAAACTGTTACTTTGGATCCCTAAGGTCCTACCTGCTGTGCTACAATGAGATACATAAAATACAGTTCACTCCATTGGAAAGTGGTTCCTCTCATCCTTTACCCTTCACCCGTGGCTATTAAACGGAAAGGTTGTGCTTCTAGGGCCTGCTCAGTCATGTTAGCAGCAAGGACCTGCTCACATCCTACTTCTGTGTGCAAATCATACTTCACCTGGGTAACACTTACCTCTCCGATACCAGACTAGACAGCTGCATCTACATGATGTTGTCCCCATCTCTTCCCATTTTTGATTAGCTCCTTGGCCCTCTCTTGGCGCCTCTCCTTGGACAGCAGAGTGCTGGTGCTGTTTTAGGGAAAGATTAATCACATCTATGGACCAAAAAGATCACAGTCTTTGGGCCTGTTTCTTCATCAGTAAGATGGAGATGCCTGTCGCTCACTTCATTGAGACTCATTTTGGGTGACGATGCCCTGGGCATCACACATCGTTTAATAACATCTGACGGAATGCTTAGGATATGCCAGGCCTTTTGCTATGTAGGTGTGTCTGTTACCCATGTCAGCGCTCATAGCCCCGTGGGGCACACGCTATGCTCTGCATTTTTTCAGATGAAAGAACAGGCTGTCTTCCCCGAGGTTACCCAGAGGGGAAAGGGCAGAGACGGAGAGCGTCCGGTTGCCCAGGCCTTGAATGGTCCAAGAGCCGGAGGCCTCAGCTGAGGCCCCGCCCCCACTCCCGCCCCGGAGCGAGTTGTCATGGCGACCAGGGTGCCGCCTGCTCGCCCGGGGGCGGGGGTGGGGGCGCGCGCGCCCACCTTGGAGACCCAGACTTCCGGGATCCTGGCGGCCGGAAGTGGGGCTTCTGGGGCTTCTCTCACTTCCGACTCGGCCATTGTTTTCGTTTCCGCGGGCCGGGGTGGTGACCGGCGCCCGGACGTCGCCGCCGCGGTACCTCAGTGAGCGCATCGGTGACGGGGAGGGAGGCGCGGTCGGAGCTGGGGTCGCGAGGCTGGAGCCACAACAGCCGCCCACAGCCCAAGGCAGCGACCCTGGCCTGGCCCGCGCGTCGCCCCCCGCGGCCAGCGGCGCGGTCCCTGGGATGCTCAGAAGCCGCCGGATGCAGCGACTCCTCTGTGACCCATTCCCCTGACCAGCCGTGCCTGGCACGGAGCCTGGCACCTGCGGGTACAGCGATGAACTGGGCGGATGTGGCCAGGTGAGCCGGAAACCTGGTCGAACGCGAAATGGAGATGAGATGTTTTCCCGGCCTTGCACTAGGATACAATAGGAAAACATCAGAAGTGGGTCAGGCGCTGTCGGAATTTCAAAAGTGGAGTGTGACTTGGAGACGCAAAAATCCAGATGAGATAAGCTGCTGAGCATTGGAAGCAGCAGAGGAAGTAGGTAGGACGGAATTTCTTGTACGTTTGGCAACTCAGAGCAGAGTTTACAGATTATTTTTAAGTCCACCTTTGCCTTTTTAAAGAAATCAAGACTTAGAAGTAACTTGCGCAGGGTACTAAGGTGCATGGTGAATTGGAAGCTTAGCACAGATGCGCTAGCTACCACTCAGGTGCTGATTTTTACCATATATAAACTGAATAAAACTTTTCCCCCAGTTCAGTATCAGTCAAGTGAACCACATTCATTCATTTGCCAGATGTTTCTGTATGCAGTGTACACACATATGTACACAGATGACTGGGAAACAGCCCTGCCCTTTGAGTCCTCCCAGAAAGTGGAGAGACAGCAGCTATGTCAACCACAAGCACGGTGTGAGAAGTGCTCTAGTAGAGGTTTGAATGAAAAAGATACTGTGGGCTCCCTGAGACGATAGCCACACTTAAAGCCTAGAGAGATCAGAAAGGCTTTCTAAGGACGCTGGGTTGAGTAGAAAAGGTCTGGCTTCTGACTCCATCAGGTTCCTTTCCTTTGGTGGCAGCTGTTTGGAGGATGTGAGTGGGGAGTTGTGTATCAACTAGGTAAAATACAGTGTTACAGTGAGAGGTACAAAGGAGTTTACCAGCTCTCTTCCTGCATGGGGCAGTCAAGAAAGCCTTCAAGAGAAAATGGCATTTGTCTGGGTCTTGACAGATGAGTAGGAGTTAGAAGTTTAAAGGAAGAAGAAAAATCCAAACAGGGAAAGAATATTCTAGCCTTGTCTCTAGAGCTTTAGTCCCAGACTTTGTTGTGCACCTCTGTCACAATAGAGAAGAGTAGAAGAGTGTTAAGCCTGCACTTGCAACATAGGTTGATTTGTAAATTAAAGTTTGTACTGTATATATATATATATATATTTTTTTTTTATTTTTTATTTTTTAGCTGAGCCATCCTGCTACCTGTTGGCAGCTCAGCGGCTGCTCCGCTCGGGCTGGACGTGAACTGCTGTTGCTCAGAGCTCAGACTCTTGAGCGAGTTCTTAACCAACTGAGCCACTCGGCCGGCCCAAGTTTGTACTATTTTTATAAATTTAATGCACATTATAAAACATACACTAAATGGGAGTTAAGTGACAATTTAGTATTATGCACCCTTTGGATCATCTTGCATATCCCACATGTGGAGATCATTGCTGTCGTTCTAACCTGGATACTTGGGGAGAGTGATAGGGGTTATGGCTAGAACAGAGGCCTAAGGCCAGGTTGTGGAGGGCTGTGAAAGCTAGGCATGGATATTTAGGTTTTATCCTGTAGGTTATGAGAGCCACTTAAAATTTAAGAAGAGAAGTCACTTGGAGAGTTACTTAGAGAAACTGCGCTGGTTGTGCTCTTTTTTTTTCTGGAGCTTTGCTTTTTAACTGTGCAGGTTCTGTCGTCAGTCTGGGGCTGAACACTTCAGGGCCTTTGACTTCTCTCTTGATGTTTCTGTAGGTCACACTCCCATCACCCCACACCCCCGACTCTGGAAAACAGCTCCTGAGACCTGAATTACAGACCATTATCGGACAAACTGCTTTTAATCAAACAAACTGCTGCTGGAACAAGCTTCTCTTTGGGGTCACAATGGCCACCCAAGGCAGGGGAACGTTAGGCCTCATCCCCAGGGCAACCGTTTTCCAGAAGCAGGAGAGGCGCCTGACCGTGAAGCAGGAGCCAGGGAGCCAGACCTGGGGGCAGGGCTGCAGTCTCCAAAAGAACCACCCTCCTGTCTGTGAAATTTTCCGGCTACACTTTAGGCAGTTATGTTACCATGAGATGTCTGGGCCACAGGAGGCGCTGAGCCGGCTCCGGGAGCTCTGTCACTGGTGGCTGATGCCAGACGTGCACACCAAGGAGCAGATCCTGGAGCTGCTGGTGCTGGAGCAGTTCCTGAGCATCCTGCCTGGGGAGCTCCGGACCTGGGTGCAGCTGCATCACCCTGAGAGTGGCGAGGAAGCCGTGGCTGTGGTGGAGGATTTCCAGAGACATCTCAGTGGACCAGGAGAGGTGAGCACTGAATCTAGAATGGCATCTAGAACCATTCTGTAGCGCTAAGGTTAGCCTGGGAATAGGCATTCTTCATTTTAAGCTGGTTTGCCCTTAGGATTCTGAGCCAGTTTCATGGATAAAGGGGAAATAGTTTTGTGCTCCAAGCCATAAACAAAAATGCAATTCACAGCCAAGCTCTGTGGATCACTTTATGAAATAGTCTTTCATGAGCCCAGCTTCAGCCTGGAGATCCACACTGCACTCCTGGCTGGTAGAGGATCTGCAACTGGTTGGGTTGGGGGAGCATGGCAGGAGAGGTAAACCTTTGGGTATGCTGATCACATGGGCCCTCATTTGAGAAGTTCTTATTACTCACTTCCTTGGACTTCTCAGAGTCAATTCTCTCTTTTCCTGCCTCATAGATTACTTGTGAGAAGTAACGTTTTGGGGCCTCATAATCATGTATTCCTTTTCTAGCTTTCCAGACCCCACTGGGGTCTTTTTGCCTCTTTGATTCCAAATTCAGTTTTTCCTAGTTCCCTGAGCTCTCTGAAATGTAAAGCAAGGTAACTCAAATGAGAGGAAACGTTGGAGAGTGATAACAGTGGGAAACCTGGCAACTCTGAAATCAGTAGGGCAGGCCGTCGGGAAGGGCTGGCTGGAACTCTCAGGCACAGGCCGAAGTTGCTGTCCACAGGCAGAATTTCTTCATGGAACCCTCAGCTCTGATTTTTAGGTCTTGCAACTGGTTGAATCAGTCTGATCCAGATTATCTAGGATAATCTCCTTTACTTAAATTAAACTGATTATGGACTTCAATCACATATACAACATACCTTCACAGCAACACCCAGGTTAGTGCCAAATTGACTCCAATGAAAACTATCACACCATGGATAAGACGTATCCTCCAGATGTGTCAAAGTGCTCCATTGTAACTGAGCTGGGTGGATTAGGGTCCCCTCTAAGTTTACTTTTTTGTACTTTACCAGGGAAAACCAGTATATGAAATTTCCCAAGTACTCATCACCCAATTTTATTCAGTTCTTTTTAAAAAAATGATTACATATCTAGGGAATCAGTCCAGTTGATTGGCATCCTAGGGCTACACCTTTTTCCAGGTGTACTAGCCAGTGCCCATTTGGAGTTACCAAATCCATCGTCAACCATTATTTCCTTGTGAATCGCTTTGTGAAATAGTAAACAAGTAAACACACAGGAACAAATCAGCTATTGCTAAGGACTACAGAGCAACTAGCCCCAACCATGGGCAAAGACAGGTGGTGAAGAAGTATTCAGAGTGCCATTTAATGAGGAAGGTAGAAAAAAATTTTTCCCATTTCCTACCTTCTTTTGCTTAAGCAGAACAGAGTGCTCTCTCCATTAAAACTCAGTCTTTTTTATCCAGGGAGTGTCAGAAAAAAAGTGACTGAGCCACAAACCCAAGAGACTAATAGCTGACCATCAGGGCAGCTGAACACTCATGGCTCCAGCCTAGGAGTGGGGGCCTCAGTTTCTTATTCTGCCACTATTGTTAGCTTCAGTTTTCTGACATGAAGACATGAGAACAGGACTCTCTCCTAGGATGGGCGCATAAAATGTATTTATGGCTAAATGACTAAATGAATAAACAAGCTTATTCATGGCAGTTTGCCAGGAGATTGAGGAATATGAGGGCAGATCAAAGTTAGTCTGCTTGGCAGGAGTAATGTGTGCACACTGGGGCTGGAGAGGGTTGTAGAGTAATCCCCGCTGGACTGCAGAATCATGCAACCTACAAAATGCTTTTATACCCTGTATCTTATTTCTGCTCCTTGCAGGCTTACAAAATACACAAATAGTAATCATTATCTTCATTTGACAAAGTAACGGGAGCACAGAATAGTTAATCGAGTCATCTAGGATTACAGAGCTAAGAAGCATTCCCTTTGTCCACGAGACTTGACCAAAGTGTTAGGATATTGCTGAGTTACCACCAAGTATGGGAACCAGGATTTTCCAGCTTCTTGGGTTCTAAGCCCCTAGCTTTCCCCTAATGACTGGCTGTGGAATGCCATCTTAGATTGAAAATTGGAATAAGGATTTCATGCCTGTGAGGAAAGAAAACCTGTGCGTCCTAGATAATGAAGAGGAACTGAACCAGGATTTAATTGCTGGTGAATTACAGGGTTGTGTTGTCACAGTGCAGTTAAGTTCTATTTTTTGCCAGTGCCCACAGCTGCTGTGTTTGAGAACTGTAACTCCCATTTATAAGAACTGTCCAGTGGAAAAGCGGGGAACCCCAGACCCTAGGAATTTACTGGTCCTACACTACATTGGAGAGATATACACTAAAGGAGTGAGGCCCCTTCCATCTCAGCAGCTGTAACCCAGTCAGGCAAATCCAGCATGGTTTCTTGAAGGAGCAGCTATTTTTATATTATGTTATACTGTGTACATGCCAGAGCAAGTGAGTTTATAAATGTGATTTATTTAGATAATGTTTTAGGTTTTCTGCTCCAAATGCCAGTAAAAATATTAACCATGAGCTTGTGAGGAGCTAGTTTGATGACAGTAAGCAACAATTAGAAAGAAAAGATCTGTGCTCTCAGGTATTCTCAGGGTCTCTAAAGATTGGAGTTATCTGATCTTATTTTACTTTTTTAATATAAATTATTGGGGAGAGGTAGTACATATTGATAACTCAATTTGCGGACAACCCTAAAAACTTTCAGCAAAATATCGAGAGGATGTCAGTTAGCAAACATCAATTGAGCACCAGTGTTGGGCCAAACATAGTTCTAGGAGCTAGTGATCAAGACAAATCTCTTACCCTCAAAAAGCTTATATATCATTGGGGAAGAAATAGACAATAAAAGTATGAATCAGATAATATAAAGATTAATGCTTGAGCTGGCCGAGTGCACGTTGGTTAGGAGTTGGCTTGGTACGCCTGCTCTGAGCAGCAGGTCCCTGGTTCGGATCCCACATAAGGGTCAGTGACACTGCCCTCTACAGCTAAGATGCTGAACATCAGCTCAACCTGGAGCTGGGCTGTCGTGAGTCACCGGCGTTGGCGTAGGCTGCTGTGGAGCTGCAGTGGACTGCCGTAAGCTACCATGAGTGGCTGGCAGCTGCAGTGAGCGGCCGTCCCGAGGCCGGCGACCAATCTGCCTCATCTGGGAAGAGCGCAATGATAATACCAACATGGGCCAGTGGAGTGACGTCCTCCACAACTAGACTGAAGAACAAAAGGACTTGTCTGTTCCCCTCCCCCAATTCCCCAAAGCTGTTCCCCTCCCCCAATTTCCCAATAAAATCTTAAAAAAAGAAGATTAATGCTTGCTATAGAAAATATAATCCGATAATTTGAGAAAGTGACTATCCTTGCTTTTGTCAGTGTGGTCAGGTATGGCTTCTCTGAAGAGGAGACATGCTGAGAGAAATTGGAAAAGCCCTTGAGGTTTGTCAGCCACTGTTCTGGGATGTTGCTTTAATGTCAGCCTCAGAAGCATTATTTGTGCACCTACAGGCAGACAAATCATTTTTTATTTCCCTGGTACTTCTGATTGGTCTTTTCTGCTGGCTAAGGCCCTAGGGAGTGTACTGAATTGCTCTCCTGGGTCCTTTTTCTGGATGGTTTTGTGTCTGAAGAGCTGATACAGTGGAAATCTGTATATAATCTGGTCTTCAAGGTCAACAGAAGGATGGCAAGTAGAACTGCAAGCTGTAGACCCTGCTTTGACAGTTTTTCCCCCAATTGGCTGTACTGGTGGGGCTGGAAGGATACCCTGGCTATTCTTTATCCTGGCTTTCTTTCTAGGGGTGCTTCTTAGAGGTTTTGGGTTCTGTACTTTCAAGGATGCTCTTTTGAACCCAATTGTATTTCCTTCCCTCTAGGTTTCAGCTCCAACACAGGAACAGGAAATGCATTTGGAGGAGATGACAGCCCTTGGTGCAACAGAGGAATCTCCTCCTACCTCACCCCTCAGTGAGGGTTCAGTCCCTGGAGCCCACCTTGAGCCTCCTCATGACCCAGGGCCACACCACCTCCCCAATGGGCACTCTGGTACTCACCTCTCCAGCTCTGGCCTGAAGCCACGCCTCCCTTCTCCTGGAGTCTCCTTTCCTTCATCTCCCCATCTTTCACCCTATCGGAACCCCTCATTGCCCTGCCCTCTGTCTTCCTTCCCTGGTGACTTTGTCTGTTCCTTTGGCTTATTCTTCAATCATTCATGTATTTAGCAAATTTTGGTCAAGCGCATGTCATGGGAAAGACACTGTTAGGGACCAGAGAGAGGTGGGACACCATCGCTGCTTTCCAAGAGCTTGTAATCTAATTAGCAGAGAATCAGTCATAGTACAAGAAGAGGCAACCTCATAAAATACGTATGCGTGAGATCTATGCCCAGGCATTTGATGCCATCACAAATGAGCAATGTGACATTGTTAATGGTGAGCTGGAGCGGGTAGGGGATGCTTCATGGAGGAGGTAGCAATGGGATTGGACAGTGAAACGTTGGGGAGAAACTAAAGTGTAGAGACGAGAGGCAGGTGCCAGAGCAGAGGATATAAGCAAAGACTCTTAGTGGGAACTCCTCGGACCATTGAGGTGGGGTCAACGAGGAGTATATTTGGGAGCCTGAGGACCTTAGAGGTGAGGCCAGGAAGGTTTTGGGGGGCAGGAAATGGTGGGTTAGAAAAAATATTTTAGTATGATTACTCTGGTACATGTGAGCTCTGTAGATCGAATCAGGAGACCAGTGGCCGGGAGCCTCAGTAGGAGGCTAGTGTAGGAGAGTAGATGTGAGGCAATCATTGCTTGAGAGAGATTAAGTGGAGAGGAAAGGGATAGATATGACAGACATTGTGAAGGAAAAATCTGTGGGGCAACAGAGAAGAGGGGGAATTAGAGGATTTGGGCCAATGACTGGGATCACTGACAGAACTTGAGAAGTCAGCAAAGGAAAATATTAAGAGCATGCATTTTAGACACTGAGCTTAAGTTGTGGCACACCACATGGAATGTCCAGTAGGCGACTGGAAGCCTGTGACAGGTGGCGAAGAGAGCCAGGAAATGTGAGAGCAGCACGAGAGCTGTGACCGTCGTTGAGACCTCACAGAGAGAACAGGGGAGCTCTGAGGCCTGAGTGCCTGGGGCGACCAAAGGAGAGGGCAGGAGAAGGAAGGGAAACCAGGGAAGGAGGGCCAGAGACCTGAGGGGAAGTCAGGAGAGGCTGGCGCCAGGGAAGCCGTGGGAGAGAGAGAGGTGAGAAGATAGCTTCCCTCCGAGAGGTAGAAGCCGAGGCCTGGGAGAAGCCAGTTCTGTTTGACCAGGGACCTCGTACCGCATCCTCCACGGAACATTCACACACACTTAGGACAATGCCTGCCTGGAAGAGGCATGAGACTGAGTGTGTGCAGCTGCCTGGGTTCTCTTGAATCCACGCACTGGGGTACAGACCTTATAGGAGCCAAAGGCAGGCCTTGTCCCACTCATAGCTTTCTTTCCTCCCTCAGCTCATGGTGCTTCCTGGGGGCCTGCCCTTCCCCAAGCGGGGCACTTAGGAGACCAAGTGGTGGCGCCTATGCTTCGGATGGTCCGGCCCCAGGTGAGCTTGGTTGTCTGTCTTTCCGGAGTATCTGAGTCTTCGGCCCAGGAATAGGTAGCGCTCACCTCCGGGCGCTGGCCATTCTGAGACTGTTCCTGTGGCTTCCCCGGAGCTGGCCCCGCCTGCTGAGTTCATGGGTTCTGTCTTGCCCTGGGCTTGTTCTTTTAGATGTGTCGTTCCCGTTGTCCCTCCCCCACCCCTTAACCCACCAGGGCCCTTGCCCTGTGTTCTTGGCACCCCTGATGACTGTTGCTCAGACTGGGAATGTTTCTGAGCAATAGAAGCTTGTCATTCTAGGGGTCTGCAGCGTTCGGGTTCCTGTCTGTGGACTATCCTGAGAAGCAGTGGAAAGGTCCAGCGCGGAGTCAGAGAGGCCTGAACCGGAACATCATGCCGGAAACGTACCGCAGCTTTGCCTCGTTGGGTAATGATTCTGGGCCCCATCCCTTAGCGTCTGCATCCCTCACATCTCCTTTGCTATATTCCTGTTCTTTATAACCTTTATTATGAAAAGTGGGAAACATAGACAAAGTAGAGAGAACAGTATAATAAACCTGTCTGCGCCCATCACCCAGCTTTAACAGTTATCAGCATCCTCTTTACTTCATTGTGGAGTGAGCTAGGGTGGTTTCGTTAGAGTTTGTGGTTGTAAGGAACAGAGAGCCACTCACGTTATCGTAAGTAATGAGCTACGTTACTTACAATAAGGCTAAAGGAATGGAAACCCTGAACTAACTGACCGGCTAGACCAGACTTGGAGAAGCAGGGCCTGTTGAGACTGGGGAGCCTGAGAGCCTGAGCAAGAAAAGGAAATGAATGTTCACATGCTGTCGTACCGGGGATGGAACGCAGCTGCTCCCTGCATATCCGTTTTGTCCTTCCTCTGCTACCCTTTGTCTTCACTCTGAACCTTTGGTCCCCTCATAGCTCCTTGAGTAGACTTTCTGTTCCCTCATGCTTCCTGCTCGCTGTGGCTCCTAGTGGCCAGGCTTCTCCGTGCATCATTTCAGCTCGAGCTCCTCCTTGTAGTTTCCTTCACTTTGCCCTATTTCCTGATCCGAGTTTCCTTAGAGAGGGACTCCAAGGATGGTTCAGCAGTGAGATATCATGTCAGTTTGGACAGAACTTTGGCTCTGGCCACAGCAGAGGCTGATGTCTAATCTACAGAAAAGGTACACTTGGGTGTAGTGCCTGGCTCTGTCCAGTCACCCGTGCTTCATCATGGGATGGCTGCGTACTTGGCACACGGCATGGTTGCCTCAGCTTCCCCTTCAGGAAAGACTGGAGAAGGGCAGCTGCCTTTGAAGGTGCTGTTGTCAGGACAGGTTCTGTGATTGACAAGTCTGGGACAGTAGTCTTGTCTATAGAGGGTGGTCTCAGGAGTCGGGGATTCAGAAATCTGCAACATCCACATTCTAAAGTAGCATGATGATTTGTTTCCTTGGTTTATATGTCTTCGAAGGAACCAACATTTTTGTGTTTAGCTATAAACGTGATTGCTTGGCCTTCTCCCAGCTTTGGTATTAAAAACATCTAGAATTCAGCACATGTTCAACTGTTTAGTCCTTATAATTTCAGATTATCAAGATTCCAAAGCTATATTTTGATTTATATTTCAAATTGTTGATGCCCTTCTTAATTTTCATAGGAGTGTAGTACTGCCTCCCACCAGCCCAGAGCTCCAGGATCTAGGGGATACCCACTGTTCGAGCTCAGTTCCCCACTTTAGTTTTTTCCCCAACATTTCTGAACCTATAGCTTCTCAAAATCTTGGTGCTTTCCTATTATTCCAGAAGCACTCCTATTTTACACTTTTTCCTAATCAAACCTTCATAATATAAATTTTTTTTCAATTCTCATTTTTGCCCATACTGTTTCTCATATTTGATTTGAGGTATTTGCCATCATGCTCTCCCCAACACCTTGCTGAGAATCATGGAACCATGCAATGTCATGTTTGGAGAAGATCTTAGAGTTTGTAATTTACTAAGAAGACATAGCATCTAAGTGACTTCTGGAAGATAAAACATGCTTTACATCTGGTCGGTAGCCTTTCAGTTACCTGCTCACTTGTCTGTGCTGACTCAGCGTCTGTCTGTCCTGATGGCTCCTTGTCTACCCTCCACCACTGCCATCTTTCCCCTCTTCGTGTTTCTGGTAATTTAGAAAAATTTGAGCGTTTCTCATTTTCTCTTCTGTGTCACCTCATTCCTTACCCATAATGTGAAGTTTTTTCAGGTGCATGGACTTCTGATGATTGTTTCCTCAATAGGACAAGAACTGAGTAAAAGCTGTTTTCTTCTTTCTCTCGGCAGCAGGGGAGACTGGGATGGAGAGTTCCGAGTTACCTCCAAAGCAGGAAATTTCTAAAGGATCAGAGCCATCTTCTGATGGGACATCAGGAGGCCTCTATGGGGTGGTTCCTGGGGGGCCAGAGGCTGCCGATGCCTGTGAAGATGCTTTAGAGAAGCTAGAAGTACAACCCTCAGATGAGGAAGGGAGCCAACTGGAAAGTGGTTTCTTGGAAAGAACATGTGAGGATAAAGACAAATCCACCAAAGATGGATGTGATGAATACGAGGAACTTGGGGAGCATCCAGATCTGTCCCCCAGTCCTGCAGAACGCCAAGGAGTTCTGAAGGCACAGAAATTCTATCAATGTGATGAATGTGGCAAAGCCTTCAATTGGAGTTCACACCTCATTGGCCATCAGAGAATCCACACTGGAGAGAAACCCTATGAGTGTAATGAGTGTGGTAAGACCTTCAGACAGACCTCTCAGCTCATAGTTCATCTCAGAATCCACACGGGGGAAAAGCCCTATGAATGCAGCAAGTGTGGGA